GGGCGCAGCGCATGTCCCTCAAAACACGTGCAGTCCAGAAGTACTGAGGGGCCCCAAGCAAAATTAATGAAGAGTCCCCGGCATTTAAAATGCAACACGCAGCACCTCCAGATTCTCCACCATCATATGGGTGACCTCGGCGTCTGATCTCTGTTGATACCAAGAAGCGAGGTCGCATTCACGTCTAAGTGGCATTGGTGTCGTGGACCCGGGCTGCTCAAATCCGGTTTCTAGCTCGCTGTGGGCTCATACCCCCAAACTTGCTCGACTTGCTCTTGCCCTGAAGAGCATGCTCTCAGTGAAATCTTGCTACTGCAGGGCAGGCATCCTTCAAGCATTTGTTGCCAAGCATTTGTTGGTGCCAACTGCCTCTTCTTGGTCCTCAAGAATCATGCACATGCTGTCATGCATGGATCTTAACGTCGCGCAGTAGCTCATTCCCAGAACCAGTCCCAAACGCAAAGGCGTGCAAACAGCGTTTTTGACATTGTTCGACATCAGTCGCAGTGCTGAGTACACGGTCTCCGTCGGCAGGACATGCCCAGCGACGGCCGCGAGAGTGTGGACAGCATCCTGTCACGTCTTTCAGGCTGCACAATCACAGATGGAGTTGCTAAAGCAGGGGAATGCAGGCATGCTGCTCGTGCGGCCCTGTGGGAGTTGGAAGGGTACTTGGCATATTTCGCATGCAGGCGTTTCACGATCCGGCGCTGCTTCGCGGGCTTCTTCGACTACAACCGAAGACAGTAGCTTGCCGGATATTGAATCTTTCTTGGAGCAAGCCTGGTTTGCCAAAGGCCTCGATCATATGGTTGCCGAGGTAGGCCGCGGAAGTCTCCAAGCACAGCAGACAAACCACAGCTGACGTCCAGGTGGAGGCCATCTGGATAAATGGTGGGCAGGTCTCAGTGCCATTCCGTCAGTAGGTTCAACATAGGCCATGGTGGCCACTAAAAATTCAAGTGCCAAGTGTTTGCAGGAGTGTGCAGCAGCATATGGGCCGGGGGTCATTGACGCGCGGTGAGGAGGCACCTACCCTTGCATTTCCCGTCTCTCAAGACAGGGCATTGAGCTTTGTATCTCATAGGAGGGCGCGCAAGGGTCTCCACAGATGCTGCCTGTGCCAACCCATTCTGTTCGCGAGTGAACCTTGTGTGATGTCGGATCCTTGCCCTTGTTCCGGACTGCGGCAAGGAGCCTCCTCACAGCCAAAGCCTAGTGCCTGATGCGCTGCTTGGCTCAATGACTTACGAACGTGCAGCCGAACGCCGAACCTCCCTTGTTTACTACAGCCTTAAAGTTCTAGATTCTAAACTCTTTGCTGTAGTACACACGAATCATCACAGTAAGGATCGGCAGCGTCATGTCTGCCGAGACCGCCTCAATCAGCGATCTGCTTCTTAACTGAAGAGCTTCGCTTCGATTTGGCTCAGTGCTGCCCATCTTTGCTCCGGAATATATTCCAAGCTCTTTACAACATCAAGCCACACGTAACGATTACTTCGTGTCTGCGCGCCTAGCCTAGTGGTTGCTTTCCAGCGAGCTGTGTGTTTTGAGGGTGAATGAGCGTTTGGTCACTGTTCGCAGGAATTTTGTTGTTTGCAGTTGAGCGAGCTTCTGAGCCCTGCAGGGCAAAGAGCACCAGCTTGGACCATTCCCCGCGGGTTTTATACGCGGAGGACATTTCGACATGTCACAGCCTGACGGATGCTACGAGCTACTGCTCAGCATGACAGAGTATAACTCTCCTCATACTTCCGGAGATTTCATATTTAGCCTTTTGCGAGATTTGATGCTGCAACTTGTTGTTTTTGTCTCCTTTCGCAGGAGCTGAAGCCTCTCGATCGGTGGCTCGGACGCATTCTTTTACATCATTCTGTTGCCGCAAGGCAGCGCTCGACAATGCACGAAGCACCACGGTCAAGTCGTCTCGTTTCTTCCTGGAATCCGTCGCTGCTTGTTAATGACCTTGCCTGCGGGCCGCGCGCAGTTATTGCACTTCCCGCACTGTAGCCTTGGGCGAGTTTGTGGTCGACATGAATTTGTGGCGCTGGTGATTTGATATATATATATATATATAAACATTTATTTATTTATTTATTTATTTATTTATTTATATATATATAGCGTGTTGACTGAAGCAGCTCCGCACAGGCAGGCGCTGCTCCAGCGGCTACAGCGCCAAGACACTTCCATGCAGGAAGATGATTCCGAGGCTGTCGGGCGAAGGGGCCGGAAACTGTGGTTTGCCGACCTTCGGCATTCATGCTGTTGAAATTCTGTGCCCAAAACCTCGACTTCAGGAACAAACGAAATGTTCAGGATCTGTCTGAGAGAGCAGACGCGTGTGGCTAAGCGGGCGCGCTAACAGTCTCCGAGAGCTCTTGCAAGTACTCGTGCTTATAGAGAAAGTGAAGTAAACGTTGTCAAAAAAAGTTGCCACTCATACTTGCCACTTGCAGCTCTCTGCCAGGGTAGGCTTGGCCGCTCCTGGGGCAGTACTTGGTCTCCACCAGCCAAGCCGCCCAAGCTCAAGGCCGCAACTCCTCTTTTGCGTGCAGCCTTTGTCTCAGGCGTCTAGTCCAGGCATGCTTCGTGCATACCATGCAAGAGCAGTTAACAGTACGCTGCTCCTCTGAAGCATCTTGAAGCACCATACAATGCAAATGCTGGCCAGCCCACAGGTACGAGGCCGCAGCCCAGGCCACAGCCCTTCGCGCGAGCGCCTGCGCCCAGCCCAGGCACAACTTTAGCAGATGCGATCGTCGCGGGAGTCAACTGAAATTCCCAGCAGGTCACACCTGTGTCGGTACCTGCGCCGAGCTTGGTCGAGGTCTCACAGAGGCCGCAGCACAAGAGATCGCACAGCCGTAGCTGTGTGTAGGTGACCTTGCCGACTTAAGCAACAATGCCCCAAGGATTTCTCAGAACTACGAGTTGGCAAACTTTTTCGCACAGATGTCCTTGTTGCATGGTGTTTTCTTCCCTGGCGCCGAAGCACAACGCACCCTGGAGGTCTGTTCTTTACGCTGGGCCCATACGTTCTTCGAGAAGCTCATGAACGACATGCAGCATGTGACAGGGTTGTGCGTCTGGTACGTCCGATGGGCCCCAAATCCTCCCTGGAACATTTGCAGCATTGTGTCTGGCATTCTCATGAGACTCAGGCCGCCATGACCACCTTCCCGCACATGCAGAAGGCAAGGCTCCGTCTGTCTGTTCACGCTCGCACTCGCCGCGCACTTTCCGCGTATTGACGCACATGCTTGTCGCAGCGTAGTCTAGCATGCGAGACTACTTCGCTTTAAGCCATTCCCTTTCAGGCCAACGCAGTCATCCGGTCGAAGAAGAGCGCCAAGTATTCGGCCACTGCTCTGCACAGGATTAGCATGATAAAACGTCGAACATTTGCCGTTTTGGGGCCGAAGTAGCTAAACTGGTGGTTGGCCGGAGATACCAGTGTATGAGTTTATGCAGGTACCCCAACGCTGAGCAGGTGCGGCCAAAAGTATACAATGAGATGCTCAAGCAGGCAAGCCTGTAGGCTGACCGCCAAAACCTTGAAGCTGCAGCCGCAGCCGCATTCTGAAAGCTGGGTTCAAGACAAGCATGGCTGTGCACGTGAGGGAGTTGCTATTGAACCTGACCTGTCGGGCATGAGCAGGCAGTTGTGACGCCACCTCAATTTGACGTAGACGTTTGTATACCGCGCACGTAGCAGAAACTCTGCCTTGGCTTTGACGCCGCAAGCTCGACTCTACATGTTATTGTGGCCGGAACACCTCAGAGTTCAGAATGCTTTGCAGGATCATGTCCTGCAGCTGTCATACTGTATGATGTTGAGCTTTTGTGAATTGTTAAGCCTGATCAGCTTTCTGCTGAGGTCAAGGAGGTTTCAGTTGATGGCTGCTCAGCTGAAAGAGTGTTGGGATTATTTCGCGCATTAAACTACCCAGCCGCTACAAGTCTGTGAATCATTGTACGACGTCTTTCATTCTCGTGCAAAGTGGACCCAGGTGCTGTGCTGCCAAGCTTGTTCTTGCCAAGACCGCTGAGTGCCCCGGCCAAGCTTTAAGTTGGCTGATGACTGATGTATGAAAAATTCCAGAAAAGTTCCTTACCAGGATGGGCTATTATACCCTATAAAATTCCGTAAAAAGGCCCTTTATAGGGTTCATTATGGGGATTTGAAGGCCTAATAGCCCATCCTGGTAATGCCCTTTGCAGGGATCCTGCAAGTTCTGCGCTGAGGCCCAAACTCTCGTCGCCAAGGAGGAGGCTGAGGGGCCCAAGATTGGGGGCCACGGTGGCAGATGGTGGCAGATACCACCACTTTTCTCGGTGGATGCATATAGCGTGATGTAGACATCCAAAGTGGGTTTTGCACCCAAAGATCAAGCCAACATCCGAAATTTTGAAGGTTGATGCCAGTTGTTCTAACTTGACAACAAACTCCACTGTTGGATGCGCTTGGGCCGCGCCTGCATTCCCTAAGGGATCCCGCGGGCGCTTGTACAGCCTATGCTTGGAGGATGCATGTCGAAGACATGCTCCTGATCTGTGTCCTGTACGAGAGACAGGAATGCGACTGTACAGGGTTTAATTCGCTTTCTTGGGTGAAGCTTGCGTTGCCAAGTGCTGTCCGCCTCTGTCTGTCCGCAATTTGCACCGTCAAAGTTGCGGCCTCGGAGACATATTGGCAGTATCCCATAGTGAGCCGAAGTGTGTCGAACGGGCACGTGGCGACGGCAATTTGAGCTCAGACCTGAGCTTTAAGGTGTCGGCAGGTCTTTCTATCTTTAGCCAGGAGCCCTTGCAGGTTTGGGAAAGGGGCTGTTGGCCCACCTCACATCTTTTTGGTGAGATGTAGAGCGCCAGAGCAGGCAGATGGGCAGAACTACCAAGTGAGCCGGAAAAAAGTCTATTTCGCGCGAAGACTCCAAACAGCCGCATCTGCACTCTGCCACATCACCCAGAGACGATCGCGGCAGTATCACGACATGCGAATGCGCATGTATTTCGGATCCAAGGCAGGGCGCTTTCTTCTGGAGCTTGAGCCGGGCAGTGACTCAGAGCAGTGGCTGAAAGCAGGCTCCGGGGCACCTGCGCAGCTTTGCACGACTACAGTATCTTCACTATTCCAGCAGACGTGTGGTAAGGTTTTGGTAGGCTTGTGCTTCTTAGGCATAGCGCCCAGGGACATCGCAAGGCAGACTGTTTGCAGGACCCTCTTGAGATTAAACTTGGTAGGCCAGTCTTTGGACTTGTTCTTCTTGCCACTGGCTGCTTGGGATTTCCGCGTGTGACCCTCAGAGCTGGAGAACCGTGACACCACATCTCAGAGAGAGAGAGAGAGAGAGAGAGAGAGCCGGGGCGCGCGCCAGCGCGGGGCTTCTCCCCCCTGCCCCCAAGAAAGAAAGAAAGAGAGCTAAGGTGCCAGTTCCAGGATCTGTAACGGCCGGCTGCTCGGATCTGCTCGGAATTATCAGTTAAGTGACCGGGTGGCTGGGCCTTGAGAAGCCTGAGCCGTGGGATATCGTGGAATATGAATGATCGGCCAGGGTTGCGCCTCCCTCAGCCTTGCCGTGCCAAACAGCTCCTGCCTCAGATTCTCAGAGCTGGTGAGCTTCTATGCGATAAGCCTGAGCAAAAGAAGCACGGGCGCAGCCTGCGGTTAGCAGCTGACGAAGTCGCTTAAGGTGGAGTCATCATGGAGGCGCCATCCTGCTCTACGAACTCCGCTCCTAGCTCGATGTTGCTTTTGACTTGTGTTTTTTTGGTTGAGGGTCGTTGACAACACGTTGGCTCGTGCTGGTGGACATGGCAATCAGGTTGGCGGAGCAGCAGTGGGCTTCCAGGAGAACGTGATGACACTTGTCTTGGGATCAGGCACCGCGTGAGACCCAGAAGATTCTGGTGTCGTGAGCACAGTCACTGTCCAGAGTCTATAGTCATTTTCTAAAGCTGCCGTCACCCACACTTTATATACTTCATGCTTCATCTGCTTTGGTAGGACCTATGCGTGCGAATCGCCAGCTATTTATCAGAGCCCGAGGTCATCAGCCCATATGCGCCCGGACAGTTGGAAGTCACCTTGCCGCTCCCGCAGGGTTCCCGGGTTTCTGGCAGAGATGCAGACGATGCAATGTGGGAGTCGTGTGGGAGTCGCGTGGGAGACGCAGCGACCGAGTGAGACTCGTCCCCATTCCCAGCTGACACCTTGGACAGGTCTGGCGGTTTCTTTGGAACGCGGATTGTTGCCGCCTGCAGGCCGCAGTGAAGCTGAACCATCTCCAAAAGCTTTCCTTGTGGTAGGATGTGGCTGTTCCCTTCATCATCATCATCATCATCATCATCATCATCATGTGGCTGTTCCTTCAAGTTGGACACACGAAGTCGCTAGTGGCTGCACGCTTGCCGCAAGTGGGCAGGTATCAGGTCCCAGCGGGACAGGCAGCGTGGCACACCCTGTCACAGCTCATGCAGTGGGCGAGAGTCTTAGAGACCGGGTCCGCCGACGGTGTTAAATCACACGAAACTACCTGAGGCTCCCAAAGTGGCCAGCGCCAGCTTTGTGGGCTTCCCACAGTTGGAATCCTCGCTGCAGAAAGAGCTCATTCAGGGTCCGGCAACCTTCGGCATCCAGATACAAGTGCTTGTGGGGACCTTTCAGGCCTTAGCTGGGTGTTCAGCCAAGAAATACATGGGGGTTGAATCCTAGACTGGCCATGCTTTCGTGATGCCTGCAAGAGCAAGTGGCAAGCAACCTGCACAACACTCGAAGAATGCCGACACGTGCCAAGAAAGGATGCAGAGGGGGAGCACAGAAGCCACTGCAGTGAGTGCGCAAGTGCGTGCTGCAATTGTTAGTTGATGTTGGTTGGTTCCAAGGAGCCGGGTGTCAACCTTACGGTGGACATTGCCGTGGTGCCAGGCGGTTGGTTGCCGTTGCAGCGCCGTTGCAGACCTGACAGCCCTCTCTTCTAGTTTATCGCCGGTCTGGCAGAACTCCGGCATGGCCATGTATTCCAAAATGTTCCAAACACTTCCAGACCCCTCTTGAGCAGTGCAGAGCTTTGCGAGGGCTCACGTTGATGGGCGTTGTCGGGGCCGCCCTGCAGCTGCATCCTCCGGCACACTTCCGCGCCTGGCTCGCACTGCAGGGATCACGATTCCGGCTGCAATCCCTGGAAATTCATGGAGCTGTCGCACTTGGAACGGGCTTTTTGACATTCGCGTGTCAATATGCCCTTGGCTGTACTCAGTCTAAACAGTAGTCTGAAATATTCAGCATTGTGAGAAGTGTGTGTCGTAACAGTAGATAAACTCAGGGGAGACTGCAATTTGCAGCTGATGCCAAAGGAATCATCGCTGTGGAAGATCCATCTCCGGGTGTCGGGTGCCCGGTGCGATTTTTTGTGTAAGCAGCACTGGATGATCTCCGAGCCGTGCCGTTAAGCTGCCAAAGAAGCTGCCAGAGACTGGAACCATCTGGAACTCTACGGAACCCAATGTCGGCCGTAGGCTTCGCAGCCCTGGGCAAGGGTTGCAGCAGCTACGCTTGGGGCTCAGCCTATATTGATTTTTCGTGTCGTGTTGTTTGCCGTCGCATCTGTGGCGCAGCTTGTTTTTGTGCGCGTGCCTGCACAGGACCACATCAGATCCTGGCGAGGCGTGGAGCTGTCTGTGCACTGGTGCTGAGCAGAGCGTGGCTTGCAATGATTGCCTGAACCTGCACGTCCGTTCTTGAGTGAAATCAGGCTGTCGATGTGCGTCTCCAGACAACGGCTGGCCTTTATGCAGGTGTGCAGCTCGGAGAGCTCAAGGAATCCTTGGGGGGCTCCATGTTCCAAGTCGAAGGCGCACATTGCGGAACGCGTGAACGCACCTCACCAATCATCTAGCAACGTGAGCCTGAGTTGGGGCCGTGGAGAAGGGCTGCTGGCGACGGAGAAGTTTTTGCCGTGCAACTGGCAGCTTGCAGTGACTGGCAGTGACTTCAAGGACAACATGCCTGCTTATTGTAGACTTCAATGATATTGTAACTTCTGCCAACTTCCATGCCACATGAGCACATGAGATACATGAGATGCTAGCGAGATGCTTGAGGTGCTGAGTATTTCGTTCGAGTGGCCGTCGCCTTGGCAACTTCTTGTCCAATGTTACCTTAGGTGGACAAAGTTCTGTGTGGATGGTGCAGAAATTTTGCATGACTCGCTGCAACGCTGTTGTTCTAAGCTTGTGTTGAGTCCGTTGCCTTGAGGTTGTTGTCGCAATTGCACCAAGTTCTGGGCTGCGTGAACCCTGGCAGTTTCTGATTCCCAGTCAGGCTGGGCCAATAACCGTGGTATACATGTGCTATCATGTGCTTTTTATGGGAATCCACCAACTCGATTTGGGGGGGAAGTCGCAGGCGGCTCCGCTAGTGGCGTTTGAGTCCGCCACCGATCTGGCGGACCCAGCCTTGGTACCAAAAAGCTTTGCGGGGACGTCGGGTTGTCGGGCTTGCTTGCTGCTTGAACCTTAAGCTCGACCGTACTCGTGCCTTGCAAATGCTCGGCTGAGTTTCCAGAAGATGACAACAGGGGAAGATGCCCAGTTACAGTGCGCTTGATAGTGCTTCATTTTTGATGGTCGACAGGATGCCCAGGACTACTTCCTTCCGAGTCTAGTAATCCAGTAGCTGAAAGCTTCAAAGGCTGGGATCCTGTCTACTGGCTCTTTGGGTGCCACTGTGTCCTTCACAGCGATCCATGCAAACGTCGCGGCCTTGCAGCAGGACTTCAAAACACAAAGCGGCCATGTTGCAAACCGGGGAGCGCCATCTCCGTTGCTACTGTTCGAGGCACGGACCCTAATTACCGTCTACTTCCTGCCGGAACAGGTGCAAGGTGGGGCAAGTTTGATTGTTTGCTGGCAGTTGGCAGTTGCCTGACAGCCCAAAGCATCCAGGATAAGCTGGTAGGAAAGGAGACTGCTGACTATCTCAGAGATGCACTCACGTGACTGGCATCACCCGTGAAAGGGTGTCAAACCTGCTTGTGCAGAACCATGCAGGCATGTTGTTATTCACTTGGTTACAATTTGTCGGAGGTATCTTTTTCCGCTACTTGGTGCTTGACTCAGCGCCCATAGATCTTAAGGCACAGTCACGCAATCAGGCTGCTCTCGTACAGCCGGTTGAGACGTACGTGATTCTTTTTCGAGTTTGTTGTTTAGGTCCTTCAGGCCCCTCTTGGCTTCGACTTTGCCGCACCATTGAGCCTGACACTCACTCTGAACAGCCTGCACCAAGTAGAAGCATTGGGATTTCTCTCTGTGCTTTGACACTGGAGTTAGTCACAGGAACAGCCCAAGCGCGAACAGGTCCTGGCAGCTGCGAGATGATTGCTTTGCTCTCGATGCCCGGGCCACGGAGCCAGTGTCTCACTATCACGGTAGGATGCGGCAAGCTACGGGCTTCTACGGATGTAGGGCTGGCAGTTCAACATGTGGAACCTGACGATAGCCTGATGCCAGGCCAAGCCACAGCCAATGCAAGGACTCACGTGCAGGCATTGCATCATGACTTGGCGGCTAAGAGTGTTCCCCAATTCCGCACCCTTCAATCCTTGCAGGGTCTGACGTGCAAAAATCGTGGGGAGGGGTGGTATTTGCAGGCCCCTCCTCCTGGACGAGCGACATTGCCACGATTGTGCTTCCACCTTTGTCGAGGTTGCTGGCACAGGAGCGGGGGGACTCAACACCTTGGCTTCCTTTGTATCCGTCAGAGACACAATCTGCTTTTGAGCCAAACCGCTCCGTGCTGGCTTGCTAGATCTTGCTAGAGGGTGCTGTGCAAATAAGTTCGACCATATTGGACATAGTTCGACTCTACAAGGTATGGTTTTGCAGTCTTCGCTGCGTTACCAACCTTTCCAGCAGCATGGGCCCTCACCTCAGTTGCGTCAAGTTGGCGAGAATGGCAGCATGGTCTTCGACACTTGTGAACCGACCTGCTGCGCAAGCCCCTTCAAGATGCAACTTAAACAGTGCAGGTCTGGAACTCATGGGAAACGATTAAAGCGGTGTGGCGAGGTTGAAGAAGTCAGCGGTCATGGAACGTTCGCCCTGGAGACTCGGACAGAGGACGCAAGAAGCTATGCCTCCATGAGCCTCCCTGCACAAAACTCCATGCACGAAAGGACTAAACTCCACGAGCTTAAGGGTTATCAGTCGTACGCATGTAGCACCGAGCCGCGCTTCTTTGCTTCTCCCTCAGAGTGGTACCTTGCCACCTTGTGAACGAGGGGTGGGCTCAATGTCG